TCCTGCTTCTTGGCAGGGGGTTGGACTGGATGGCCCATGAGGTCTCTTCCAACTCTATGATTCTATGAAAAACCATTGTGAAAAGTAATAAAAAGGCAATGTGCTGTGTATGGGATATTTTTATTAGGGAGAGAAATGGGACCCAAATTGGGTCTGCACCATGCCTACATGTTTCTTTTCAGATTGTCCCAGCCGAGTGGGTTCAAATGGAGGATAGTAGAAACTGAAGATCCGTTCCGGTTTGCTATCCAAATCTGGGGAATCAGAATGTATCTGTGTTTACAGATACACACCATGAATGCATGTCAAAAGAGAGTGGGAAAGAGGGTCATGTGTCAGCAAGCGAATCCTGAGACAGGGCCGAGGCTTCTGGGGAGCCTTGAAGCATTGGGGTTTCATCCTCCAGGGCTCCGTCGGACTGTGAAGTCAGGATCCTTAACAGCTTTCTGCTGATGAGATGAGACCGGAGGAACGGATTGGATGTAGAGGAAGAGGTTTCATGCTGGGGAGGGGGATCCTGCATGCATTGTGTCCTTCGTAGGTTTTCCCGGACCCGGATGAACTCTGGCTGGTTCAGCACCGTATCACCTGTTGCTTCCTGTTGATGATGCTAAAAACAAAACACACCCCACAAAACAGAGTTATGGCATTTTGGAAGAATCCGCATACAATAAATTGCTACTTGTAGTGAAATTGCTACTCTGTGTTAAAGTTTTGGTGTATAGCTCTATGTTTACATGTGACAGATAGGAAAGAATAGGTACAGACAGGGTAGCAACAGCAGAGATAGGATTCATTTGCATATGTGAAGCCGATTGGTCATATGCAGATTAGCGTAGGCCCAGGACTTGAAAAGGCTGCTAGGCCCAAAATGACAGTTGGAGAGAGAAAGCTGAACATTCCAAAGGGGCGGAGCCAAGGTTCTGAAAGAGGCAGTTAGAGTGAGAGAGTTTGAAAATGACAGGAATCTGTGTGTGAAGAGGAGAGTTGGTTTTTGAGTGCCTGTTAGAAATAAGCAGTTATAAAGATGTGTTAAAGACTTCTGATATAGAGAAGCAGTTAGTTAAATAGAGCTCGAGTTTTAAGGAACATAAAGAAGGATAGTGTTGCCTGAGTCAGAATATAATTCAGCCAAGAGTGTGTAAAGCAAGTAACATGTTTGTGAATGTGAAACATTGAAAGTTTATTCATAAAAGTAAACCAAGTAAATGATACTGACTGTAAGCCTCAAGATTGCAACAAAACACAAATGTAACCACAAGCATTGGAGCCAGAAGTTATAAATAAACTGTGTTACTTGGTTATATACAAGAGTGTTTCATTGCCTGTGACTTAAAGCACAAAGGTTTAACAGCACACAGAAAGTCCCAGCCAATATAAAAGAAAAAACTGAATCAGTACAAGGTAGCAAAGAGGTTTTTAATAAGAAAATAGTCTCTCTCCTTCGCCACACTACTCTTGCTCACGTCAATAGCCTTGTGATAGACAGAACCATCCCTGGCATTAGAAAGAATAAAATGGCCATCTTGGACAAAATATTTGGGGTGTCATGAAAGGAAATTATAGTTTGGTTCCAGGATCTCTTGTGGATCCCAAAATGCACAAATCTTATTATAGGTAATGCCATCACAATAAGTACCGCATATTCCAGCGTATAATACGACTGGGCATATAAGACGACCCTCCAACTTTTCCAGTTAAAATACAGAGTTTGGGATATACTCGCCATATAAGACCACCCCTCTTCCAATGCACACCAAATAACATTTTAAAAAAATCAGATTTGAATTCAATATTGTAATTTTAATTCAAATGCTTATGACATGCAGGTTCCTATGAGAGGGACGTTGTACCTTACATTGTACATTACAGTTGCTCTTCCTCCCTTGAATTTCATTTACACTCTGGGTCCTTTACATTATGCTGGCAATAAGTTAAAATAATCAGTTGAGTTAAATAATTCTCATTTAAAACAATTAAAAAACCAGCCGAGGTAAAGTGTTATATCAGTTCCCTTTTGCCTTCTCTCAAGCTTCTCCTATTGACGCAGCCTAAAAGAGCATTGGCCTTTTCAGCTGCAGCATCACACTATTGGCTCGTGGTCGACGAAGATTCCTTTCATAGAATCCTAAAGTTGGGAGGGACCACTAAAGGCCATTGAGTCTAACCCCCTTCATTCTGCCTTCAGGGAAAGCACAATCAAAGCACTCTCAACAAATGGCTATCCAGCCTTAATATTAATAGAGTTTAAGGGAGCTCTGAAGGCCATCTAGTCCAACCCCCTTCATTTTGCCATCATGTAGGGAAAGGACAATCAAAGCATCCCTGACATGGCCATCCAGCCTTAATAATAATAATAATAATAATAATAATAATAATAATAATAATAATAATAATAATAGAGTTGAAAGAGACCCCAAGGGCCATCTAGTCCAACCCCCTTCTTCCATGCAGGAAAGACAGATGGTCACCCAGCCTCGATGATAATAATAATAATAACAATAATAATAACAATAAGTTGGAAGAGATCTCTAAAGGTCATCTAGTCCAACCCCCTTCATTTTGCCGTCATGTAGGGAAAGCACAATCAAAGCACCCCTGACAGATGGCCATCCAGCCTAATAATAATATTAGAGTTGGAAGGGAGCTCTAAAATCCATCTAGTCAATCCCCCTTAATTCTGCCTTTATGTAGAGAAAGCACAAAGCACTCCCGACAGATGGCCATCCAGCCTTAATACTAATAATAATAATAATAATAATATAATGATGATTGGAAGGGAGCTCTAAAGGCCATCTAGCCCAACCCCCTTCATTTTGCCATCATGTAGGGAAAGCACAATCAAAGCACCCCTGACAGATGGCCATCCAGCCTAATAATAATAATAATAATAATAATAATAATAATAATAATAATAATAAAGTTGGAATGGAGCTCTAAAGTCCATCTAGTCAAACCCCCTTCATTCTGCCTTTATGCAAGGAAAGCACAAAGCACCCCCACAGATTGCCATCCAGCCTTAATAATAATAATAATAATAATAATAATAATAATAATAATAATAGAGTTGGAAGGGAGCTCTAAAGTCCATCTAGTCAAACTCCCTTCATTCTGCCTTTATGTAGGGAAAGCACAATCAAAGCACCCCTGACAGATGGCCATCCAGCCTTAATATTAACAATAATAATAATAATAATAATAATAATAATAATAGAGTTGGGAGGGAGCTCTAAAGGCCACCTAGTCCAACCCCCTTCATTCTGCCTTTATGTAGGGAAAGCACAAAGCACCTCCAACAGATGGCCATCCAGCCTTAATATTAACATTAATAATAATAATAATAATAATAATAATAATAATAATAATAATAATTTTTTTTTACTTATTTTTACTGCAAGGTGTCAGAAGACACACTTATTGCAGCTTGTCCCTTAGAAATCAGAGTAGCTTAGTCCATTTGGGGCACTGTGACAAGCTTGTTGTGTTTGGAAGGGGGAATACAATGTGGTGTCACATGCGGTGCTTCAGGCAGCAGAATATGTTGGTCTGGCTCTGGTCCCAAGAGGTACGGCTTACCTGTTCCCTTCTCTGCTGCCATCGCAGAAGTTCCTGCTCCAAAGGCGATTGTTCCAAGCTGCTTTCTGTACCTTCACGACGCCGGTTTCGGTGCTCTAAAACCTGGAGCAATTCTGGTTTGGAACGAAGGCTGAGGCCTCTGAGAGGAGAGAGTTAAAAAGGAAATATGGCAAAATTGCCCCTTGCCCATCCTCATTATCTTGTTCTTAATCATGGCTGTGACAAACAACCCCCTGCGCCGATGCAAAGGCACAAGTTCAGAACATGCCTGATCCTTACAAAGAGGGAGGATGTAATTCAATGTTGCGAAGGGTAATATAATATTCTTAATCTACATCTACCTCGCAGTATTATTGCAGAGAAGTTAATACTGCAAAGTCGTCAATAGAAGAACCTAGAGGTGTTCTCTTGGGTAAAACAAGAGCATGTTTTTAATGTTATGGCTTTCCCACTTTTGTGGTGGTCCTGTGCCCCTAACCCCAGTGAAATTGACGGGCTGGCTGTACTCCACACAAAATATTCTCTCCAAATGGAAAACTAATGTGTCCAGGAGAAAGGTTTCTGGTATGTCTGTCCCTTTGACATATTCAAAGAAGTGGGATATATTTGGCATATTCAAATTCATATTAACATAACTCAAAAACCACTGGATCAATTGCCACCAAATTTGGACACAAGACACCTACTAACCCAGTGTTTCTCAACCTTCCCAATGCCGCGACCCCTTAATACAGTTCCTCAGGTTGTGGTGATCCCCAACCATAACATTATTTTCGTTGCTATTTCATTCACTGGAATAAATTTGGCACAAATATGCCTAAATTTGAATACTAGTAGGGTTGGAGGGGGGGGGGGATTGATTTGGTCATTTATGAGTTGTAGTTTCTGGGATTTATAGTTCAACTACAATCAAAGAGCATTCTGAACTCTACCAACAATGGAATTGGGCCAAACTTCCCACACAGAACCCTCATGATCAACAGAAAATATCGTGTTTTCCCTCTGACTCTCTGACACCCCCTCACGACCCCCATAGGGGTCTCGACCCCCAGATTGAGAAATGCTGTACTAAACCAAGGAGTGACCATCACTAAAAGAAATTGAGTTTCGTCATTTGGGAGTTGTAGTTGCTGAGATTTATAGTTAACCTATAATCAAAGAGCATTCTGAACTCCACCAATGATGGAATTGAACCAAACGTGGCACACAGGACTCCCATAACCAGAAAACACTACAAGGGTTTGGTGGGCATTGACCTTGAGTTTGGGAGTTGTAGTTCACCTACATCCAGAGAGCACTGTGGACTCAAACGATGATGGATCTGGACCAAACTTAGCACAAATATTCAGTATGCCCAAATATGAACACAGATGAAGTTTGCGGGAAATAGACCTTGACATTTGGGAGTTGTAGTTACTGGGATTTATAGTTAACCTACAATCAAAGAGCACTCTGAACTCCATCAATGATTGAATTGAACCAAACGTGGCACACTGGACTCTCGTGACCAACAGAAAACACTACAAGGGTTTGGTGGGCATTGACCTTAAGTTTGGGAGTTGAAGTTCACCCCTACATCCAGAGAGCACTGTGGACTCAAACAATGATGGATATGGACCAAACTTGGCACGAATATTCCATATGCCCAAATATGAACACAGATGGAGTTTGGGGAAATAGACCTTGACATTTGGGAGTTGTAGTTACTGGGATTTATAGTTCACCTACAATCAAAGAGCATTCTGAACCCCACCAACGACAGATTTGGGGCAAACTTCCCACACAGAACCCCCATGACCAACAGAAAATACTTAAGGCCATCCAGTCCAACTCCCTTCACCAAGGCAAGAAAATGTAAACAAAACCCTCCTGAAAAAGAGCCACCCATAGATATAGTTAGATATATATGATTCATACACACAGATATATAGTATCATAGATTTGAAAGGGACCCCTAAAGAAGGACAATTATATGTTGCATGTTCCAGAGTAGGCAAACCAGACACTTTCCACATCAATGACAAAGAAACAAGAAAAAATACTGTTTACCCACAAGCCAAAAGAAATTAAATTTATTAGAAACCAACACTTTCTCATTACTTTATTCTCCAGATCACCAGACTGGGCCACAGCAACGCGTGGCAGGGAATGACTAATAATAGTAATAATAATAATAATAATAGTTAGATAGATAGATAGATAGATAGATAGATAGATAGATAGATGAGAGACATAATTGAATATTTGACATATTCAAAGAAGCCCTGAGTCCCCTTGGGAAGATGGTGGCTGGATATAAATAAAGTATTATTATTATGGGTCGCTGTAGGTTTTTTCACGCTAATGGCCATGGTCTAGACCAGTGGTTCTCAACCTGGGGTCCCCAGATGTTTTTGGCCTACAACTCCCAGAAATCCCAGCCAGTTTATCAGCTGTTAGGATTTCTGGGAGTTGGAGGCCAAAAACATCTGGGGACCCCAGGTTGAGAACCACTGGTCTATAGCCTCCAACAATTCTTGCCTTGCTTTCCAGTGACCTCCAATCCTCAGAGGTAGTGAGTATTATTATTATTATTATTATTATTATTATTAACTGGGAGACATTTATAAAAAAAAGAATCCATGAGGATGGGGATATGAAACCTGTCATTTCTCTCATTTCATTTTGGTTTTAGTCCTTCTCCCAGGACTGGGGCTCAAAGTGTGATATAATCAGACAAAAATGATTTTTAAAAAACAGATACAACCGAAACCACAATTGGTTGTGACACAATTAAATCGATTATCATTTTAAAACAATAAAGACATGTATCACAGTGTTTGTTGACATTTAAGTGGCTATCTCGTGTCCGTAGCAGAGTTGTTTAAAAAGGACACTGCACGACATGAGACAAAGGAGAAGGAAGATAATATACTAGGTTTTTCCTGCCTTCTCCATGTGTTCCTCCTTTCATAAAATATATAAGGTAGCTCCTGGCACCAATGTGAATAAAAGAAGTGCAAAAATGTCCAATCTAGTTGTTATATGCCATCATATTTGGTCTTTCTTGCCCCCAAGAAAGAGGCTGGAGACTGAGATCTCTGAAAAACTGTCTCTGCTCCGTCTGGTGGGGAGAGGGGCAGGCAGCGGAGGGAGAAAGTTGACACTCAACCAGCCTGGGATGTGAATCAAGTTACAGAGAGATTCCTGAGCAGCAAAATCATTCAAAACCTTCAGCCAAGAGAGGTGGGTGGAGCTGAGAAAACTATACTATGCCTTTCCCCTATTAATTCAGAGCGGGAGTGACATGGACAGTGTATAGTGTTGTCAAAAATCCAGGCACTCACATATAGTAGTTATTAGTGCTGTATTGTTTACAAGCAAAGTTTACATATGTGTGAGTGTATACGCACATACAAACAAAAACACATATTTATGTGTTACCCTGAGTCCCCCACTGGGGTGAGAAGAGCAGGGTATAAATATAGTATAATTAATTAATAATAATAATAATAATAATAACAACAACAACAACAACAACAACAACAACAACACAGATCCCAAGTGTAGACTCTGCAAGGAAGCAGATGAAACAATACATCACATCCTCAGTTGCTGCAAGAAGATTGCGCAGACAGACTACAAGCAGAGGCATAATACCCTTGCTCAGATGATTCATTGGAACTTGTGCCACAAATACCATCTGCCTGTGACAAAGAACTGGTGGGATCACAAACTGGAAAAAAAGTTACAGAGAATGAACAAATCAAGCTACTCTGGGACTTCTGGATTCAGACAGACAGAGTTTTGGAGCACAATACTCCTGACCTCACGATCGTGTTAAAAAACAAAGTATGGATTGTCGATGTTGTAATCCCGGGTGACAGCAGGATTGAAGAGAATAACTGGAAAAGATGGCACAATACAAGGATTTAAAGATCGAACTGCAAAAACTCTGGCAAGGTGGTCCCAGTGGTGATCGGTACACTGGGTTCAGTGCCTAAAGACCTTGGCCTGCACTTAAAAACAATTGGCGCTGACAAGATTACCATCTGCCAGCTGCAGAAGGCCACCTTACTGGGATCTGCACGCATTATTCGCCGATACATCACACAGACCTAGACACTTGGGAAGTGTTTGACGTGTCATCCAATACAACAGCCAGCAGAGTGTCTGCTGTGGACTCATCTTGTTGTCTTAATAATAATAATAGTAGTAATAATAATAATAATAATTCTCTGGCCAACACATACTTTGGTGCCTCAAATGTCAGATCTGTTTTTGGGTATGTTTTATTGGCTGATTCCAAAAATGGCACCCTATAGGATCTAGTTTTTGAGATACAGAGAATATGCCATGTACTGTACCAATTTTTATTCTGCTCATCAGGATATTTTCTTGGACTTCAACACTCATGTTACAAGCCTATTGAAATGAAAGAGCATATTGGGTTGTTGTAGGTTTTTTGGGCTATATGGCCATGTTCTAGAAAGCATGTTCAGAGGTGGTGAGGTATGGTGGAAACTTGGAAAATTGGATTTACCGAATATACTCGAGTATAAGCTGACCAAAATATACGCCGAGGCACCTAATTTTACCACAAAAAACTGGGAACATGTATTGACTCGAGTATAAGCCAAGGGCGAGAAATGCAGCAGCTACTGGTAAGTTTCAAAATAGAAGTAGATAACAATAAAATTATATTAATTGAGGCATCAGTAGAGTAAATATTCAAAAATATTTACATAAAATTGTAATTTAAGATAAAGCTGTCCAACTCTGATTAAACCATTATTCTAACCTTCTTCAGTGTAAATGTGCATACATATCCTTCCAATAATAATAAAGGGAGTAAAATAATGCATGTAATAAAAATAATAGAGTAAAATAATAAATTTAATAATAACAATAATAGAGTAAAATAATAAATGTAATAATAACAATAAAGAGTAATGTAATAAATGTAACAATAATAATAGAGTAATATAATAAATGCAATAAAAATAATACTAATAACAGAGTAAAATAGTAAATAACATTGACTCGAGTATAAACCAAGGGGAGATTTTTCAGCCCAAAAAAGGGGCTGAAAAACTAGGCTTATACTCGAGTATATACAGTATATATCTGTGAAATCCAATTTTCCTCACAACCTCTGAG